TTAGTCTAAATACCACTCATTATTTACAAGTTAAACTGCCTCGGTGGTCTAGTGGCATTCGGCTGCAAATCCGAAGGTCCTGGGTTCGAGTCCCGAATCGTGAGTCGCTAGTCTCTCATAAATGCGAAAGTTTGTATATGTGTATACTGTATAATATGTTCTTTGTTCCTTTATACTGAAACGGCTGGACGGATTTGGATAATATTTGGCACATAAACAAACTATGACCTGGAGTAAGATATAGGCTAATGTCAGTAATAAAATCTGCCAAAATATGGCGTTGGCTGATTATAATTTTATATATATCGTACCTGACCGAAGCGAGGAACGTAATTCGCAAGTAATTTATCGTTAGTCACAATTAAAACAATTGTAACAGACAATATGCTTTCAGGATCAAGTATGCCATCATGCGGTGAGGAAACCCAATTTGTAATACTTTGTTTTTATATATGACTAGCATTGCCCGCGGCTCCGCCCGCGTTCAGATGACCAAAAACCAAATTCCTAGGTTTTACATATTCGTATACTCTTACATTACAATTTTTGTATTTTTTCTCAAAAATGAGATATTTTCCCGCGGTAAAAAGTATTCTATATGTTGACCCGGATAACCAGCTATCACCATATCATCCGAGGGCTGGTCCGCAGGGTTAGGAGGTAAAACAGATTTTTACTAACGAATAATGTAGTTTTTAATTATTATTTTGGACTTACATAAAAGGCAACATTAGCATTTTGAGTAAGCAAATATAAATTATACAATTTACATTTTTACGTTCCCAAACACAAATCTTTATATAGGTAAATATATAAACACAAAACAGTTCAGTACATTTTTCTCCTCTGTCTGTCTGTTAAAAACTGTTTTTTTATAGATAGGTAAATTCTACTCATATGTTTTCTTCAAACTTTCGATAATCCTTAAAGCCCTTCAAAGCTGGTCTAAAATTATGAATGTTATGCGGCGGTGCGTAATATCACATTATAATATACCGCAAGTTTGTCTTAACACAATGCCTCTGAAAGTTGTCAAAAAAGTTAAATATCTGGGTCACTGGGTCACTGACGATCGATCGATATTATTATTAAATTTAATTAAACAACTAATTACTATGAATTATATATTGATCTGAAATAAATATTTATTATTAATAATAATGTTTGTGATCGAATTTTGACCACTGGGCGAAAACTAATAATGAATAATATCACTCACGATTAATTTGTATTCAGCATACTTATAATAACAAGACAGTTAAAGGTTATGCCAGTTTACTTACCGTAGTACAAGTTTCAAAGCAAAATAAGGTAAAAAATTTAACTTCTCATAACGGCTGGGCACCAGTTGGTGCGATTACGAATTATTTATGTTGCCAAACGTTTAAAATTTATTGTTAATTAAATAAACATGACTGTTACCCTTAATTACCTTCAAATACTAAATTAAGTAGGTATACTTTGTGTAAATATTACAATATTTTGATTTGTTTATGTGTAGTGAATAATTTCTAGAATACAGGAATTAAATATGTTTTATTGTCATTTATTTTAAATTTGATCGATGGACGCGTTTGCATTTTGTTTAGTTCCTAAAATCACTCTGGACGTCTTTAAAAACTTTATTAAGTAATTTTTTATTACATTAAGGATATAAGGCTTGTTCCGGAAATGTATAGCAAACAAATTGATAAATTCTAAGCATAGTTAGTTCTGGATTTAAATTAAGCATTCAATTAATATTAAAACCTAATTTTTCGTATTTTTAAACATTGATTACGTTGCTTTTCTTTTTATTCAGGCGCTATTGTCTTTTATACGTTACAAAAATTTAATTTCATATTCATCTAGCGGCTTCACCTCAAGAAAAGCATAAACAGATCTATCCCACGGGAGCCGTTCATTTTTCTGGGATAAAAAGTAACCTGTTGTTTGACCTGCAATATAAGGTATCAGCATGCCAAATTTTACTAATTTAGGTGCATAAGTTATTGTGTACTGAGCTGTATAAGTACTATAGTTTTTTAACTAATAAGTTACTATAGTTTTTTTACAATCCCACGGGAACTCTTTAATTTTCCGGAATGAAAAGTATCAAATCTCATTTAAATAGGTCCTATAGATTAGGAGATTAGCCCGTACAAAGAGAAAAACAGACAAACAGCTCGCTCGGGTTTGTCCATACCTACGAATATGTTGTATTATCTCTTTAACCATTTGTCCAAATATATGCAGTAAAAGGGAAAAGTCTTTTGTTTTAAACATTTTAGACGATAAATTTACTTATTTTGATAAGAATTCATAATTGTTGATAATATGACCAATAAACATGACCTACCGATTTAAATTATTTTTTTAATATAAAAAACTACTTTTTGTGACTTAAATATAAAAGTTAGACATATGCTGTCGCTGACTTTTTTGTAGGCATTATTAAGCTCTACAACTTTTCTCTAGAACATAATCATATATTCATCATTGTATCATTTATTCATCATATAATTCGTGCATTACAAATTTATCTTTGTTTATTTATTATATTTTGTTTGTCTATGTCGCTGTATGCCTGCAGAACTGTGGGCCAAAATTACCACAGAATGGAGCTCTGAGATAGGGAGGCGATTGGAAAAATTTGATCCAAATTGGCCTATTCTTGCGAAAGACCGCAAAACTTGGAAACGTAGAGGGTAGGCCTCTGCCCAGCAGTGGGATGATATAGGCTAACAGTAACAGTATTTTGCTAGATTATTTCATTAATTTTACCTATAAATACAACCATTGAATCCCATAAAAAATATTGACAGTATTAATTTTATTAATTAACTACATATCTAGTTGAAATAATGAGCTTACCTTCACGTATTTCTTGGGAGATTAATAGAAGATTAAGCTTCTAATGTAATATAATTTCTAGGATATTACTTATATTATTTTCTTGGTATGAATAAGGCTAACTATTCTGATATTACATATAATTTCGGCTAATATGAAATTTTATTGTGATTATTTAAGCACTGTTATACATATTAAACTAACATTATTATATACATATATGTATTCAGCAATTTTTAATGTCCCACTAATGGACACGTGCTTCCATTTAATGCAAGGGGGATAAGGCCATAGTCTACTACGCTGGCCAAGTGTGGGTTGGCGGACTTTGTCTTTTGACTGTATTTCGAAAACTTAGTAGGTTCTTTCACACATGCAAGCTTCCTTACGATGTTTTCCTTCACCGTAAGACAAGTGGTAATCATATTGTTAGACTCCAGATTTGAACCCGCTTCACTCGAATTCAAAAGCGAGCGCGTTACCACTAGGCTACCACTGCTTTCACAAATACATACATACATATTACGTACATATAAATAGGAAATATTAAAACTAATGACGGCTGACTTTGTGACCTTTATCCAATTCCTTTTATGTGGTAAGTAATAAATTATTTCGTTCAATAATATTTGTCTCTAGCTAAAATGCTAAAGCTGTATATCAGGCGTTAGGTCATGATTTAGAAATGTGCTGATATTATTATTATAAAATAGTATATATTTATTGATTTGTACTGTGTCTCTGTATATAAACGTATTTATATTATTTATGCATACATGTTTTTTTATATGTACATTTATATCATAATAATGTGCTAGTATAATTATTTTTTTTTTCTTTTTATGTATGTTTGTTTAAAACTTACGCATTAACACACAGCACTATCTATTTCCATGGTAAGCACAAAGCTTGTGTTATGGATACCAGATGGTTGAAACACTACATATGTATATATATCTTTAAATACATACACATTATAAATATAAGCACCCATGACTGGAGTACAAACATTCGTGCTTATTACACAAATGAATGCCCCCAGCGGGACTCGAACCCGCGACCGGTGGCACAGCAAGTAGGGTCATTACAAACTGAGCCAAACACCAAAAATCTTTATCTCATATCTATCTCGTATATCTATCTCTATCTATCTATAGCTTTATCCTATGTCTGTTGAAAGTCGTTCGATAATAATTTAATCAGTCGAATAGACACTTCGATTTTCTACACCTAAAGGTTGCTTAAAAATATCGCTAGGCTTTGATATCTTGCATTTTTTTGATTCTACAACAGTGATGTTATTAATTATTATTATAAAATTGCAATATGGTCAAAATTATACTAAATATTTTTGTATATCTGTATATGTCAATTCATCGCTCTATAATGGCTGGATTTCAACTTGTTAGAAGTGCTAAACTCGGCTATATTGCTGAACATAGGTTATTTGGATTCTGATTAATTTCTAGATTTAAGGATTCTGGTAAAGATTGTTTACATTACTATATTATTTTTAATTTCGTATGATATTTCATTATAACAAGGTGACTAAAAAAAAATTTAAATATTATTAGGAAAATTAAATATTGATTTTTGTTGAAAAAAGAAACACAGATTAGTTCAATAGAAACATTTATTTATGTAAAAATTGGTATCTAAAAATATAAATATCACATTTTTAAACTTATCTTCTTACTTTACTTAAGTTACAATTATTCAAATTATTCACACATTATTGACCTTAAGAAAGAAAGCGTTAGAGTTAAGCCTTAACTTAATCCTAAATATAATCTAGTTTTGTTTCTTCACTGTCTATTTTTTGGGACGATTTCATCAAAATCGTTACACTGTAATAATGTTAACTAAATTTACATTTCTTGTAATAATAAGTAAAATTAAATTATTATTTATAATAAAGAGTTATGGCAGCTCGTCATACTCGTAATATTATTTAATGAGTTTTATTCAATTCAATTTCAATTATTTGAATTATTAGATAACAAAATTATTCCATCTTTTAGCTTCATGTGTCTCTGTCATTTTCTAAACGAATGCAAATCTTTTGTATAACAATTTATTATTTAATTATAATAAAACTGGGGTTTAAATATGACACTTCGAGGGATCCTAGATTAGAATGATGGAAATCAAATTCTGAACAACCTTCATACTAGGGTCTTTCCAATATTTGATATTGTTGCAGCATTTCTATTGCGTCTAGTCGTCGTCTCAGTGCTTAGTTGTCCTAAAGAATAATTTACCAAAAGAGTTATTAATACTGAATTATTGACTTTTAAAAGACAATGTCAATTGGTATTACTTTAATAAAGCCGAAAAAATATCTTTATATGTATATAATATATATGTAATATGTATATAATAAAATATATATGCATATAATAAAATATATATGTATAAAATAAAAATATAAAGCTTTGTTTTTAAAATATAGTAAAAAAAAACTCTTCTGAAAGTACAACAAATATTGTGTGTGTTCGTTTGAACAAATAAGCACTAAAGCGACGTCTTGGCGAGTAAGAACGGCTGCTCTAGATTAGAGTCTTAGGTTTCTGAATCTGCTGTGTCAATTATAGTTATAAATTTCTTCTGTTAAAAGATTCTTATTAGCATTCATAATTTAGGAAGTTAATGGTAAAGCCGTCGGTCCTGCACCGCTGCTGCATCGATCAAGTCGAATTGTCATAGAATCAGACTTTGAGATTGGAAGAAATAGAGAGTGCATTTGAGTTTATGTACATTGTTATATACTATAATATCTTCAGCACAATGTAATATATGAATTTGTCATGGCTGTACATTCTAGTTGTACGACGAATTCTAACTAATCGATTTCAAATTGAAGTGTAGAAAATCGATTCAACACTACTGAGAAGTACCAACTAAAATAGTAAAATGACAATTATTTCTGGTAAAAAGTTATCATTATATAATAATAGTTGTGTAATAATAGGTATTCCTTATAATTTAAAATTATCTTACATTAAAATGCTAGGCTAAGCATATTTTCTATGATAACTATATCATTATAAATTGACAAAATAATTCGAAAATTAAGTTTTGTTTTAATATTTACTCGTCTTATAATTTAGTTCATGAACGTCAGTTTTAAGTTAAGCAGTTACATAATAGCTTTCAAAATTTGTACTTCTAGAGGTCGACTTAAAACAATTAAATTTGTTCAAAATATCACATGTTACAAATTGCTATGATATTTACGTCTGTACTTGGGTCATATTCATCACATGTAACACCTCTTTCTTATTATATGTTTCGACTATACCTTCGATTGATACGTAAGAACCAGCAAAGAGAGCAATGAAAGACATGATTGCTACGCAGATGTTCTTCCACAGCTTCCATTTAAACATCCCTAAATCCCTATCCCAATTATGCACAGTGTCTACGATAGCTGGTGTCAAAAGTCCAAGACTCGATAAAAAGATGGCACCACTTAAATTGATGAACAATTCTAAATTGGGAAACGCGGCGGCAAGGGCGACTGTAAAGAAATAGATATTTTTTTAAATTTCACAAATAATGTGTTGAATGCAAAAAATGTGTGTATATATGTAGGTACATTGTTTATTTTATCATGCTGTAACTCCTGAATACATTTGAATGAAATTCTTAACAGAGACTTATATCCTGATTTGACATAAGCGAGGCTCTAAGTTAAATGCTATCTTCATTTCAGATTTTACTCCAATCTATTGAAAGAAAGTCAAAAAGTAATAATCTTAAGTGAGAAAGTAAGAGTGATTTAAAACTTGATCATTTTGTGATAACTGTCTCATTGGCTAGCACATTCAGACGTCCTGGGTTCGAGTCTCAGAAGTTTAGTTATTGAGACTTTCTGTTAAGAAAGTCAAAGTAACAGCCTGGAGTTGGGAAATTAGCGGTGTTTCACCCTAGTGCCTTGGAGAGCATGTAAATTACGTAAATACGTTATAGTGTTTTGCAAAATATATATTTACCTGATCCAACAACAATAATCGTTCTAATACTGATCTGAGTGAAATGGTGATATTTAACGGTAATTTTATTTTGAATCTGTCTCCATATCATTTCCATGGGTACATAGAACTGTAAGCTGTACGTGAAGAGGATAGCTAAAGCCATTAATATTTTGGCACTTTGGGCTAATCTAAAACAAAGGGAATTTATATTAATAAATGTTTTTGAAAAAATTCCACAAAAATACATATATAATAATATATTAATGTCATGAATAGTATTATAAACGTATTATATTATATATTAAACCTAAAAATTGGTTTACTTTATTATGAGAATATATCTCTTAGTTTTTGTAAGAATTCAGTTGATAAAAACTATATTACAATAGACAAAATTATGATAATTTTATTACGTTATAATATAAGAGCAAAGGAAGAATAATAATCGGAAGTGGCATTTTCTTTTGTTTTTGTTTTTTGTTTCCAATGTGTAACTATACAATAAAAATCTATTAAAGTTAGTTTGTATTGAACAACATAAGAAACCTTTTGAAGTAAGCTAGAAACTTACATTTCATCTTGAGGTAAGTTCAAAGTGACGCTGCCGCGGACTGCGTCTCCATATTTGAGGTATCCAAAAAAGCCGACAAGACCATATAAGGAAATAACGATAGTCATAGCGATGTTGAGGACTCCGGGACATCCAAGAAATTGTTGAGGCTTAGCCATTTCGTTTTCTACCGGCATCACTACACCGATGCCTTCCATAGCGAATATTACCGTACTGAAAACAATATTAGATTTATTTAGCTGTAAATTTATTTATTTAACTGTAAGATTTATTTATTTAGCTGTAAAGCAGAAAGTGTAGAATAGAGTAGTTGTTATGAGGTCTCTGGGGATCGATCTTATATTATTATTTTATTTCTTACTTCTTCCTATAAACAAGTTTTATTTTATATTAGCATTGCCCACGTCTCCGCCCGCGATCATACGACTAATAAACATTTCTATTGCTTCGATCGCCACCAAACTTTATAGAATCACCCGCTGGGCTAATCTAAAGATTACCTAAAAATTTCATCAAAATCGCTTCAGCTGTTTTGGAGTCCATAGCAAACATACATACACACATCGATTTTTATATACATATACAGATTTACAATAGACGTATCTATTTCATACTAGTAGTACTTCTTATAATTATTTTCTAACATCATGAAAAACTGGAGTGTATTTCATTTTCTGGCCCATAAATTATCTATTACGCAAAATCTCGCCATATCTACGCAGCGCGAAAAGCACATGACAAGTAGCACCCTATATATATGTAATATTAAAATAATAAAGATTGTAATGATATTAAAGGTATTGGGATGCTAGTAAACTACAAAAAAGCACCGAATTTAATCATTTTTTTAAATATTTTCAGGTGTCTTTTAAAAATATTTTCAGTTACTTTTTTCTTTAGATATAAAACTATATTTAAGAGCTAAGCTATTCTTAGAACTAAAACTGATGTTTATATGACAAGGTTACCAGTAAGTACCATATACAATTACTGATGACATTGTTGCTAGGGCTTGATGAATCTATGATCTACAATTTCCTACTAAAAACTATACATATTAACTACACCATATGAACGACACGTTTGGCTTAGTTTGTAGAGACCTTAGTTGAGTGTACTTACTGTACCAGCGGTCGCTGGTTCGAATACCGCTGGGGGCATTCATTTGTGTGATGGCACGATTGTTTTATTCCAGTCATGGGTGTTAAAATGTATAATATGTATGTATTTAAAGTAATATATGTGTAGTGTATCAACTATCAGTTATCCATAACACAAGCCTCGTAGCTTAACATGTAACTAAATGCTGTTTGTTAATGATCGAACATATTTACCATTTGTTTTTAGATTTTATGTGTAGCTTTTTAAGTAGATCAAGAAAAAATAACTTGAAAAGACATAATTTATCATGTTGAATATTTCAAATATCACACGACAAAAAGCTGTGTCATGAATAATATATGGATATAACATGAAAGCATTTTTTCTTTACAACGTAAGTTGCTGTCTCATTCCACTCATCTGCTTGCGGAACTTTGATTGTAATTCATCGTATATACGTCGGATTTTCACACAGACCATTAGGAGTGATATGTATGTGGCTTTTAAGCAAAGAGCCTGACAGTACCACCGGTACGTACGTGGAAAATTAGGAATTTAAAGAAAGCTCATTACGAGTTCAGTACTACTAAAGCTTTTTATGCTTGGGCAAAGCCACGTCATATTGCTAGTTAATATTAAACTATTTATTCTAATACAAACCTTATAAACAGTGGCCATTGGACCACACTTGCGGCCATTTTCCGTTCATACGGACTAGGCATATCTTGAAATATATAGTACATCGTGATCGCGAAGCAGATTACCAGGAAAATATTAGCGAGGGCGGAAAACGGTACGAGCCATTTTAAATTACGTATTTGACAGATCAGGACTAATGGAACAAGTGTCAATGCACAGTAGGCTTCCACTGATAACTTGTAATCTGGGTAGTATTCATCTAAAACCTGAAAATTTATATAAAATTAAAGCATGTTAGTTGAGGACTGTCACCTACCACGCATTATCGAAATTGTATGATGGGTTTATTTGCCGTATTTCATCTAGAAACTGATTAGCATGAATATTATAATTATATAAATATCTAAAAAGAATATATACAATTGGTTCACAAAAATCAGTAAAACGCTTATTTTTCCATTATTTTACGTTAGTTTTAATTGTTACTTTGATATTTTCTATAAGTTCTAAACTTAACTGAATAACACTGTATTACTATGTATCATGACATACATCTGATGTCATAAGCTCGATCTTGCTGAGATAAATATTAATAACTATAGGTATCATTAGACCTCTCTTTGGAGTAATTTATCTATGTATGTATATAATATGTACATTTATTTTGTGTATCTTGGAAATGGCTCTAACGATTTGGATCAAATTTTGTATTTATTCAGGTTATGCTTTTTATGTTTATCTATATAGATGTCCTTTTTGAAAAACGTCATTTTTTATATTTTTGCCGAAAAACACGAGTGGAGATAATTATATTGATATAAGAAAGATTAAATAAGGATGTCCATATTAAATTTTAATACGATACCAGGCTTTTTGGCGGGGTAAGTAATAGGGCTAAACCCAAGGGATTCTCAAGAACAAATGGGACTGACGACATGAAATGTGACGCTCACATAGATTGAAACTCTTCTATATTCTAAAAGGCATATACACACTATAATAATTATAAAACCGATTTTAAAAGCGAAAAATGTATGTTTTCTTTCAAAATTTTCTCATTTCAAAAACTGTACGCGATTTTTGTCACACAATAAAAGTTTCTATATCACACACACACACACACACACACACACACACACACACATAAACATACAAACACATGTGTGTTTTTTTTCAATATATTTGATTTTTTTATTATAATATTATTAAAAAAATACTTCAATAATATCAACATAGCTTTGTCTCCATTAAAACAGAAAAAATATGTATAATATAAATAGTTACAAGTTACAACTCGCTACATTCCTTAACTTTGCAATTTATAAAGGCAATCTGTGTTACCAGACCAAGATTCAATAGCTTCAATATGGAGGGTCCCTTAGGGTCTAAATGAAATAGAGATAGGGTACCTACCCTATACCTACCCTACTACCCTTATTGTCTAAATGAGAAGGGTCTAAATGAATGATGATCCCAGCATAATATAAAGTTTTGTAAAAAAAATCCAATCAATATTAATAATCTTTATATTATAGGCCTTCTAACGTTAAAACACCTTACCTCTTTGAAATTCTCAGCAATAAACACCACGTAAACACATAGCGCCGCTATATAAGTGCAAGTTAATACATAGTCTATGGTTATTCTGAAAACAAACATAAGTTTTATTAATACTTATTAGTAGTTGAAATATCTATATACGGTACCATGCGGGTTGCTCCTGGTACTTCTTTGACAACAGAGTGGACCGTTGGAGCAACCCCATGGTTGTTGTGCTCTCAGCGTCTTGGTTGAGTGCGTAAGCGATCCTGCGATGCTCCATTAAGACGGGGAGGTTTTGTTGGGTTTTAGTGGGAAGTATTGGCTTTTCCAGACGAAGAGTCCCACATAATCACCTGTACGTCTACAGGTGGTATGCGTAAATGCTTTTCCCAACATAAAAAAATCTATATCTACCGTGGAGGTTAAAGTCCTCCTCGTGATCCCAACCTTTATATTTTACCTTACAAATATTTTTTACGGTCTGTTCATTTCATCAAATAATTTTAGTTATTTTTTTTATAATTTCCTCCACAGACACTATTATGATAAAATACATTCATACAAAAATCAAAATCTAGAAATTTAATTAGCAAAAACTTTTACAATCAACGCTAACTGTCGACATCCGATGCCGACAGTTTGTAACGAAAATGCCTGAGACTTATTAAGAGGCGAAAGTCTCAGAGGAAATATTGATCTCTTTTAACTTTTTGACCGACTGAAAAAAAGGTACTCGATACGAAAGCATTATTTGTAAGTTTATATTAATCGATCGATCTAAAAATAAATCTAAAAGAACAATTACTTAAAGTTAATTTTGTAGTCGGTACACAATTTGAGTTAAATGGAATTGTTATCAATGTTTAATATTAACCTTGCAAAATTAGCCCACGGTCGCAATCTTTTTGGTCCAAACTCAAATGCTGCACCGCATGTTTCAGCGAATCCCATAGACGGTTTCTTCGCTTCGACGCATACTTCTTGTGATGTTTTTACCTTTAATAATTGCATAGAAAACTAACTAAAATAACTTTAAAAAATTAGGCATGATGAATATTTTCAAACACTAACATAAGATCTTATTTCAATTAAATTATTATAAAACTAGCAACTTACTCTCGCTTCGAGCGGGTACGTTTTAATTTTTTTGAGCGGAACCCAAACTCTTTTTCTAAAATAAAAGTAGCTTATGTTACTATCTATAACATCAGCTTCTAGTGAAGTCCCGTCAAAATCAGTCCAGCCGTTTCAGAGATTATCCGCACCAAATGGATAGACTGACAAACAAAAATTTATAAAAATGTGTTTTTATTATGAATACATACAATATATATAATTTTTACAAACAGACACTTCAATTTTATTTATCTGTATAGATGTATAGGTAGAATCCTGCCTTCGCTTCATAAAATAACTTTTTTACTATGGTATTAACTAAATAAACCATAAAAAACCATTAACCAATAACCAAATATAATCAATTGAATCCATTTATCATCCATTTATTTAAAAATAATTTACTGTGGATTTTTTAAAAACCGGTCGGCCGATTTCGATAAAATTTAAATGGGACCTGGGAAGTGTACCCTTTGAAACAAAAAAAAAAAAAGATTTTTCCAAATCTATTTAGGCGTCTTCGAGTAATCGGTGAATATACGTTAAAAAAATCCGACGAATTGAGAACCTCCTTCTTTTTGGAAGTCGGTTGATAAATAGCAACACATTTAACCGAAAATATACTTTATTCAGAAATATAACTATGGGATTCAATCAAATATATGCTTCGGACGAGTTGTTTTTTTTTTAGAAAATCGCAGACATACAAACATACATACATACGGGTCTATTACGAAAACTTCCTGTTTTGAAGACGGTTAAAAAATTTATAACCGTCACTATTATTTGACAGTAAAAAAATATTCAAGATTCTTACCAATATATAAACACAGTGAGTGCAAATCAATCCAATTAGTAGAGTTCCGACGGCACCAATGGCTAGCCCAGCATTCCTGAACGCTGCGGGCATAGCCAGGATACCGGATCCAAGCGAAGACTTCAACAGATGCAGTAAAGAGCCAATTGACCTAAAAAAACAAGTTTTAATACATATTAGGCAGTTCAGTGACCTATATAGAGAGAACGTAGTGATACGATATGTTTTGCTTATTCTTTTCTACGGTATCTAATACTATTATTATAACACAAGCCTCGTAGCTTACCATGGAACTAGATGATGCTGTGTGTTAATGTCCCAATATATTCTAAGTAAGAATTGAATTGTGTATCAAAAATTTGCTGGCTAATAATCAGGATCAAAATATGTAGTCTATGGCTATCCTGGTGGATTATGGCATTATGGTTAATGCAATCTATGCTCTTCCTGAATTTTATCAAAATTTGTTTAGCGGCTTAAGAGTGAGAAGGTAACAATTAGAAACACAGAATTAATTTCACATAATAATACTTCACTCAACACCCTAGGGAGCTGGTTGTAACTGAAAATCAGCGCTGCTTGAGATTTCGGTCTTAGCAGCATCAGCTGAGTTTGTCATAAGTTAGGTTAAGATTTTACTGATACTGTTAACTTTTTTTACTCTTTTTTATGGCAATAAATACTTTTTTGATTATTTTTTATTTTAATATTTAAAAATATTTATTAATAATCGATGTACAAAATTTGTTAATCAGTCATTTAATATGTTTTTTCTCGTTTTTTCAAGATGGCGCCTGAAGCTCCACCGGAATCTGTCAGCATTTTGTGATTTTATACTCAGTAAGTGGTCTTATTAAACCTTATAAAATAAAAACAATGGATCGGAAATTTAGTGCAAAGTTAAATTCTATTTTTACTGTAGTAATTCACCAGGAGTTATAAGTACAGTTTTTTAAAATAATTACACACTTTAAACACAATCGATTTTTTTAGAAATTACTCTCTCACTTTATAATTTATTGAGTTTCGTGAGAGAGTTTTTCTAAGTGATTAGAACAAGTCGTCTCAAAACACGGTAATAACGAATCGAATATAAAGCTGTATTTCAATCTAGTCTACTTTGGAAATTGTTGAGCATATAAAATTATATACTAGTAATCTACTCTCACTTTACTTGGCTTTTAAACTTTTGTTTTGAATATTTATTTATTTTGTACCACAATAATACATATACTAGCGACTCACCCTAGCTTCGCTTGGGTTTATCCCTAGCTTGCTTCCCAATATAAACTTTCAACCCCAATTTTACCCCTTAAGGAATGATTTCCGGAATAACAAGTATCCTTTGTTCTTACTAGGGTCTCAAACTATTTTACCATAATTACATCAATCGACATGGTAGATTCAGAGATTACCCCCTACAACGTCACAAACTCACAAACTTGACCTCTTTATAATATTAGTATAATATACATATAAAACAGAAAACAGATATCTTGTGTATAAAGATGACTTATCTCTATAAGAGATCTCTGCCAGAAATCCTCGAGCGTGAGAAAATATTAATGAGGTGCGGTGTAGATACAAACTATAAACATCAATTATTATATTAACATACAAATATACATACATATCTACATACATGCACATACTTCAAGAAATATATTATATACTAAGGAAATTACGTGGAGGTCACTCCACTGAGTCATCAGATAAAGTTGTTTAAACAGTTTTAGCGATGAATTGTCATTTATAATCTTACACGGTTCCAAAGTTTTGCTGATTGAACTGTGAAAGATTTCTCATAAAAAATAGTGTTATAAGAAGATATGTTAAGGTTTTTTAGCCTACAACAGGGTCGCGCAGGTCTTGAGAGCTGGAGATCGATAGCTGAAAATGCTCGGGTAAGTGGGACCAGCGTTATTTAAAATAGTGTATTACGCCGTAAGTATACGCATATTCGGCGAAAAGGGAGCCAATTCAGAAGATGACGAAAATCACTTACATGATCCAGTTTATGCAAGCCATAAAAGAAACGGATGTATTAATTTTAAAGTCAATCTAATTTATTAATGATTAATGAGAGATTTATAATTAATTAATGAAAGAGTCATATAATTGATTAATGAGAGTAGCTTCTCTGTAGCATCTTAATAGCAAACGTCAGCATAGTCTAAACCCACATACACGCACCAAGTTTTGGTCGATTTTTTAACTAACAGTACCTAACATATGTGTTATTCCATGTTGTTGCCTATCTGTATACTAACTTTCATCCAAATCTATCCAGCCAATTTAGTGTAAAATGTGACAATCATAGATAAAAATATATACATATAAAAATGTAACAAACATACAAACAATTGCATTTTAGTACTAGTGTTACATACCACACATATAGAACCCGACTCTAGTTCTTGTAGTTGAATTGCCTTCTTAGCATACGCCTACGCTATTCAAGAATTACAAGTAGGTACAAGCATTCTCTCCAAATTGCAAATTCCTTATTCCAGTAGCCATACACTTCACCCCTTAATCAGTATATTCTACGTGCACATAGAAGAGTATTTATCAAACGTAAAATTTGTTATCGGGACAATTTACGATACTATGTCAAGGGTTCCACTATTCAAGTTAAACGAGGTCAGTAATCTGCGTAAAATGTTTTAGTATTATACTCGATAGTTGTTTAGCCCTAACACGATTTTAGAACTGATAGCCATAATTGAGATAATTATTACCATTAGCTATTTAAATGGGACTTATGTATTTATTTATTAGGTATTGACTGACTTATTATAGTTCTATTTTTAATATGTTGTAAGAGTGTGGTCCCACCACATTTTAAATAGAATTTAACCCCTATGGTAGGTACCTTTTCAGTTAAAAATCAGGCGATTGTATTTTTTTAATCGCTCAAAGTAAGAGTTTTTTTTCTTTATTAAGGTTACTATGAATATGTACATATATACGTTATATATTTCCAACATAACTCTCCTTTAGATTCGCGGCAGTAGGATAATCTACTTGTACACTATAATTATAAAGAGGAAAGATTTGTATTTTTGTATGTAACGAACAAACACAAAAACTACTAGACCAATTTAGATGAAATTTGCTAAAAAGATTGTTTGAGACTCTGGAAACAACATGTGCGCATTTTAATTTTTAACTATTTTTATATAGCCTATGTATGACATTCCCGTTATCAAGACAAATCTAACGAAAAAGGAATCATCAAAATTACGCCCACGCGTTTGGTCTCTAGAACGCCACATAAGAAGAAACATACATACATACGTAGACTTATAAACACATTACCCTCCTTAGCGTCGCGTAGTCGGGTAAATAATAGGTTAGATTTTGAGTATTGAGGTGGTCTTTTATTTCTTTTGATGACGAATATTGAAGGTTATCCTTAGATACTATGTAATATTGTAAATGTAGAGTTAACTTCATCTTTTTGTTACCATTTCACGATTAAATTGCTGAACAGATTTTGATAAAATGTAGCTAAACGTAGATTGTATCATACGGACGGATACCTCCCACCATTTATCTAATTTTACACCATTTATCAAATATTTCCTCAGTGTTCTTTTGTTTAAATCTACTTTGTACAATCATAATACGTGAGAAACATTACTTATAACAAAAAAAAAGCTTTTAAATACTTACGAATTGGGATGTTCCACTTTTCTATGTTCGAAGGGATTGTATGCTTTTTCATTTATAACTTCTTTCGAACCGAGACTTAATGTCGACTGAAATCCCGGGTTCGATGCTAGGTTAGTCCTGAAAAAAAGAGAATTTGATCATTTTTTTCGATAACATACATAACGTAACACATGTCCTTATCGATTTATACATGTACTGAACCGTAAGTTCCAAAATTTTGGCAGCTTATTTCTATAACGCAAGTAACAACTAAAGTACATATATTTAGTTCATAATATATATATATATATATATATATATATATATATATATATATATATATATATATATATATGAAAAACTATATTTTACTTTGTCTTGTGTAGTAAAATATATTTATTCGTGTAGTAAAATCTATACATAATATTATAAAATTGTAACTAAGCCAAATCTGTACATTAAATATTTTTTGGAAAATCTTATTGAAATAAACATTATTATCGATACAGAGGCAGAACTTACGAGTATATTTAGTTTTTAGAATTTTTGTCTGTCTGTGACCGCATCACAAAAAACTACTGGAGAGATTTTGATGAAATTTGGTATGATGATAGCTGGTTATCCGGGTCAACATATAGGATACTTTTTACTGCGGGAAAACATCTCATCTCTGAAAAATCTATTCTAAACCTAATAAGGTATTATATGATTTGTGCAGACCATTTAAGTTCGGACCATTTAAGGGGTAATAATATGTTCATACAAATAATGATGCGATATCTATTTTGAAATACTACTTAACAAGCACGAATAGTATTGTAAATGATTTTAATTACGGTATACAAATTTAATTGCGATGTTGATTTCAAATTATGATGAGCAAATAAGTTTTACTTAAATCGAATATGGCTATTAATAGGAAAGTATCATAATAATTTTGCAATAAGTAATTTTATAAATTATATACATAAAATATAAATAACTAGCACAACCCGCGGCTTCGCTCGTGCTAAAACTAATAAAAAAAGCTCTAAAAAGGTAGGTTTCATACAAACTTGCATCTTATTTTACTTCCTTATGGGATGAATTTCGAAAAAAATTAAAACAAGTATTAATTTAATTGTATTGAAGAGCATTAATACCAAATTTCAAGTTATTCTAATCATAAATATTTTTTGGGGTTGTATTATAACGTATTTTCCAATGGGAATGAGATAATCTCCCGCGGCAAAAAGTAGCCTATGTCCTTCTCCAGCCTTCTAACTCTTTTCACAGAAAAATCACGCCAATCCTTTACTCTCTTTTTGGACGTGAAAGAAGGACAAACAAACAAAAAACTTTCACATTTATAATATTAAGTATGAAAATATGGATATTTGATATCAAAATAATACTAATATTTTGTTATAATGTTTTTACATGTATTTTTTCTTGTAGTTGAAAGACAGCATGCTAAATCTTTATTTCGCTCTCCAATTTCAACCTGTATTTAAGGTAGTGAATGCATATTGCATAATGGCACTGCGCTTTTTATAACTGGAATTATTGATAGACAAACAATTTTATTTTTAAATTCACCCCAATAGGAATCGAACTCGCGACTTCTATATTGGATTTAAGTGTCTTAATATTTGAATTTAAAGGTATATACGTACTGTTGTATATATTTATTTCCAAAGCGAGCGTGTTACCACTGCCTTAAAATAATCAGGTCACGATATTTAAAAAAACCCTCAAAGAATGCATAAAACAGAAGATGCGATATTTCAAATGTAAATTCTGTGCGCAATTATCAAGTAATTTTGCCCGGCAATAACGAATTCATTCTAATAGGGACTATGAGTGTAATTTAAATAAAGGTGAAATATTTTGTTTATTATCTTTATTGCTTCTGAATTAAGCGTATATTAATACTGTTTTAGGAAAATAATGATTAAAAAGTGCAAAAATTGGTGGGAAATTCAAAGTAGTTTTGTCAAGTTCAAAGTAGTTTGTTGTTGTCATTGGTCAGAACCAATATGACATCAGAGTATATTATAACAGAGCGATTAGTGATTTTGTTACTACAAACTGCTCAAGCAAAAGTCGTCATTTCTCTGTGTATGATATACTGTGACGTCACCCCAAACGCGCGAAATGGCAGGTGCTTAAAGTCGATCGGTATCGATATGATACATATTAAAAAAATAGTTTTTTGGAGCTGGACATATTTTTTACAATTATATAACGATGTAAGTTATTGTATAAAAAATAAAAAAAACACGCATATTCCGTTTTTTACTAACGGTTATTGAAATTATACGCCTACTGACTAGACTTTTATATAAATATCGTTTTAGTGATAGTAGAAACTTTTATAACATTATTTTTTACATCTAGACTTAAAGCAACGAGACCTGGCTATAATAATATTTTATATGCTAATATCTTATAAGGTATTTTTACTTGAATTTTAGACCAGCAAACGTTTTTAAATATTACAATATATGACTCTCTAAGTATCTCTTTGCCATGCATTATATTGCTTTATTTCAAACCGTCTAGACGGCAACGGAACGGCTAGTTTATTCTGACCTCAATAAAAATTATGGCAGTATACACTTTTTATTGAAATAAAAAAATACCTGTAACACTCGACTGTAGCTTAATATTCTATTCTATTCAGTACTTTTTAACGTCCCACTACTGGATTCAGACCTATTCTATATATGTCAGAAGCTTAATCTGTCATATTCGTCAAAACCTAAATTCGTCAAATATGGGATTAGACAAGTTATTGTACAATCTCGCATATATGTTTTTTTTTAAATATATTAAACAGATTCAAAAAAATCGAATATTATTATTATTACAAATTGCCTTGGAAATAGATTCAGGAAAGTGAGAAAAGATGCCTGTAAACCCCCCTAATTACCCCCTATATCCTTACACAAGCTTAAAAAATAACAACTTTACCCCTTTAAAATATTAATGTAGTTAAAATAATAATAATCAAAAAATGACAAAAATATTTAACTTACGTTGAATTAAAGTTTTCTAAAATAATCGTGCCTTTCTTCTCGTCGTGACCCATCGTGATGTTCTGAAACAATAATTAATTTTATGTTAATAATATTTTTAAGTATTTATAAGTATTTGTTTGTTTACGCGTGCGTTACTCGGAAATATTTTTGATTAATATAACTAAGTTTTCTTTACAATATTTTATATAGCTTCATATAAAACTCGAGGTCCACGTAATATCCGGCTTAGAGCTTATAAGTATTAGTTATTTGTAAACTTTTGATACTAGATAACTTTGTGGAAGTTGCGATTTATACTCAGTTTTGTCAACTTCCGTTGCTAAGTTGATTTCGAAGACCTTTTATTTAAATTGTATAAAATCTACTTCAAAGAAGAACGTATATTCTAAAGAGTGGTGATTTTTTTTTAAAACTAGTCGTTTTGGAAATCCATACACATTTTGAAACTTTCAAAAGTTTCAAAATGTGTATACATATCATTTTGAAATTAATATACACCTCCTACATGTACAGAGCAAACGTCATATATAAAATACATATACAGTGGTATGGAACCCTTCGTGAGTGAATTCAACTCGCAGTTGACCGATTTTTTATTTTATTTTACAAAAACCTTTCCTGGTTGAAAACGACTAAAGTTTTTTAATCCCGAAAAAAAGGAAATGGTTTATAAAATTAATGAAACAAAATGCCGCTATTATATACCAAACATAAATATTAAATTAAATATATTTTTACATACATACATACGTATATATTTACTACTTACCGTCTTCTTTTATTTAGATGGAAGGTATGTAATGTAATTTCTCAAATAAAAAAAAATATTAATATTTTTTTCGCTTAGTTATTTCTATTTTTATAATAAAAAAAAACAAATTATTAATATTTTTTAATTAATATAAAAATATATATCGCTTCGTCTTACCCAGATGCTACAAAGAGACAAACGATACTGCTAAAAATATTTATAAATACGGTATTATAAGTAATGAAAACAGAGGATAATCATTGCCGTTGGGAAATTATGTAATTGTTGTACTTAATCAATCGACCCACATTCAATTAATTTTCGAAGCAATTTGATAATTTGGACTAAATGCTTATTATGACGTTTAATGTGACATTTAGAATACTTAACTGCTAAAATTAGTTCTAAAGCTAATAAATAACCTCTATTATTTTAAGACAAGGGTTTGGTAATAGGTAGAGAGTTGAAATTTTCACAGGATATGTACATATTTCTATTGCCGTTATAACAACAAATAATTAAAAAAAATACACACTTTTAATGTTCGTAATCGATCATTGAAATTAATACACACCTCCGACATGTATAGAGCAAACGTCATATATAAAATACTTATACAGTGGTATGGAACCCTTCGTGAGTGAATTCAGCTCGCAGTTGGCCGATTTTTTGTTTTATTTTACAAAAAAACGGATGTGTGCAAGTCCAACTCCGAAAATTCCGTAGCATTAAACACTTCATTTATGTCACGTTTTAAAATAAGTTAAAAGTAAAATAAAATATTTTAACGACGCAACGTCAACTTCAGAAGCTTGGCTATACATATATAGCTTGGAAACTAAGTCGTCAAATCTTTAAAAAATATTTATGTACATTTTAAACATATTCTAATAGGGACTTAAATATTTAATCACCAATGTACTATCCCTTTATCTTATTCGACGACACGTTTGGTTCAGTTTGTAGTGACCCTACTTGCTGTGCCTTCTGTCGCGGGTACGAGTCCCGTTGGGGGCATTCAATATGTGTAGTGTATCAACTATCTGGTATTCATAGCACAAACCTCGTAGCTTACCATGGAACGAGATGGTGCAGTGTCTTTTTGTCCTAACATATTTATATCTATTTATTTATCCCTAGTCCCTAGTTCCGCATTAATAATATATGTAAATGTGAAAGTTTGTGAGTGAATGCTTGTTACTCTTTCACGCCAGAACGGTTGAACGGATCTGAGATAGATTATAGTCTGGAATAACACATAGGCTACTTTTTATCTCGGAAAAATGTACAGTTCCCGTGGGAAAGGTTTATTTTTGTTTTCTTAGAAGCGAATCCGAGCGAAGCGAGGGTGAGCTGCTAGTACTTTATAACTGTCTCCGAGTAGATTTGCTGTGACGTACGAGCACATGGAGAAACAGATAGATAACAAAACGAAATTATAAGGGTTTTGTTTAAAGTTATTACCCACATCACTGTAGTTCTGGTTAAAATTCTCAATTTTACTAAACCTTCAGATCTTTGATATTTTCCTTTTTTGAGAACGAGGTGAGATAAAAATAGTAAGTGCTAGTCCGAGATCTCTCTAAGAGATGACAGTTGTAAGGTCATCATACACAAGGATGATATGGTAATTATTATCAATTTTTTCTTTATTATTACGATTATGACAAACATCGATTTGTAAGTAATTGTGATATAATCGATTTTAATTAAGGGATATTCCAGATTATGTAGATAATGTTTTATTATCAAATTAGCTCTTTCGTTTAATATGTTTCTGAGTAATATGTAATTAAAATAATCATTAAAAGAAACACGGTTTTTAATTTACATGTATGTTTAATTACTGGTGCATCGTTGCAATACGGGTTTTGAAGTAATAATATTACAATGTATCAATGAATCGGTCTTATTTATATTCATTTAATACTAGCGACTCACCCTCGCTTCTTCTCTTTATAATATTTGTATAGGTAGATTATAAATGTGAAAATTTGTGAGTATGTATGGATGTTTGTTACTCTTTCACGTCAGAAAAGCTAAACGGATCTGGATGAAATTTGGCACAGAGATAGATTATATAGTCTGGAATAACACATAGGCTACTTTTTATCCCGGAAAAATGTACGGTTCCCGTGGGATAGGTTTGTTTTTGTTTTGCCAGGAGCGAACCCGAGCGAAGCACGGGTGAGCCGCTTGTATTACAATAAAATAATCCCGGTAACCTATCTATCTGTGATCTACGAGATAGATAATAATTGTCAAAAGCTCCATACAAAATACGAGTACGAGTAGGTGTGTCAAATTTCTATTTCTTGTATAAAAGAAAACGACAGATAGGTTATTCGAATTTACAGTAAGTGGATGTTTCTCCTTCAATTCTTCATTCTTCATCAGGGTTTACAGATTTGAGTAAAATTTAGAATCGAGATAGCATATTTTTAGGTATAGCATGTCGTAGGCTACATTTTAAGGCATATAGGTATACCACGTGAGGTATAAATAAGTATTCATTTTACTTCAAATGGTTATTTTAGTATGTCTAAGTATTTAAAATGGCATATTTTAAACTATGACAAAAACTTTACAAATTTACTTATACTTATAAATGTGAAAGTGTATATGTTTGTTTGTTTGTCCTTCTTTCACGTCGAAACAGAGTGACGGATTGGTGTGATTTTTTTTGTGGAGATAGTTGGAGGGCTGGAGAGTTCTTTCCACGGGACATTATCTCATTCCCACGTAAAAACACGTTGTAAACAAAAAAAAATATTTCTGATCAGAATTACTTGAAACTTGGTATTAAATCTCTTGAATACAATTAAATAAAAATCTGTTTTAGCATTTTTCGAAATTCATCTTATAAGGAGATAAAATAGGGGATGAAAATTTTATATGAAACCTACTTTTTTACAGTTTTGTTTTCCGTAGTTTTAGCACGACCGAAGCCGCGGATTCTGCTAGTTAAAAATATTTGAACGTTGCCATGAAAAGATTTATAACAATAATATCGTATAATGTAGTGTTATAATATAAATTTAAAGCACGGCCTACAATCACAACATTCGTCTCTGACAATATAATAAGCATTCCCTGCGATCACTGGATTGCAGTTTTTGCGACATTAATTGGACCCAGTTATGCAAAAAACAGCCATGTGCGTAAAAGTACCAACAGAGTTATAAGCATTTTTCTGTCGATAGTTGCACTTGGGTTATGTTTTGTTTTTCTGGTTATTTTAAAATTGAACAGTATTTATATAAGTATTGTTTAATTTTTATAATTATTCTATTTTTTATAATAAAATATTTATAACTCTGTTGGTACTTTTACGCACATGGCTGTTTTTTTGCATAACTGGGTCCAATTTAAAGCGGTGGAACATTGTTAATTATTTTTTGTAAGACTTGCCTATAGGTGGCATCATTTTTTTTTAATAATAATAAACTGCTTTTAGTTTAATATGAGTAAAGTTAAAGTATGGATAGATATATTGATGTACCTATTTTATATGTTTTTAATTTATATATATATATATTTATGTAGATATATATGATATATATCAATATACACATATAATGTGATTTATCTTTTCGGATTTTGTCACAGTTTCATATAGAATTTTTATTCCCGACGTTTCGAATTGTTTACAGCAAACATAGTCATGAGACTACGGTTCAAATTTATAAATATATAAAAATCGATGTATGTACGTACGAGTATGTTTCCTATGGACTCCAAACGGACGAGTCATTTTGATGAAATTAACATACTTTTATAAATAATTCAGGCAATATTCAGATTATCCTAGCGGGTGATCCTGTGATGTTTGGTAGCGATGTAGTCAACAAAGTATGATCATATCCAATATCATATACGGGTTGAATTTTGTTTTATTTAAGTACTGACAATTTAATTTTAAATATAAATATAATAATAAAATACATTATTTTAAACTTTTCTTTATTTATTTATTATAAAGGCTTACTAGAACTAAATTTACATCAGACATGAATTTAATATAATAATATTTCGCTATTTTTATATGAATTTAATTTAAAAGTATGCACAGCTTTTTAAATACTTGTTTATAAAGTGATTTTTATGTATGTATGTTTAAAATAAAAATAAATTAAATTTCTTTTTTAGAAGTTTTTTCTTCTAGTGAACACGTCTTAAGTTATAAGACTGCATCCTCATTAAGCCCGATTTTCTGGTTTCACGTGAAAAAAAGACACGCAAACATTTTCGTTTACTACAAAGTATAATAATTATAATTATAACTAACTTTTGCCCGCG